GGTGGATTTTCCCACTCATTCACCTATAAATAGTGAGCATTTTTCAAAATAAAATCAGACGACATTTTTTTATCAGTTAAAACAAGTCTCCCGCTAACAAACTGTTACCCGTGAGATAAGTTCGATTTTCTTCGGAGCAATGCCCATAACCTTTCATTATTAATCTTTGTGACTTTTAATAAAAAGTTTTTCTGACGCAATATTTTCAAGAAATTTCATTTTTTTTACTCCAAATATTTGTCGGCCAAATGAGTTGTCGGCGAAGTGTACATGTCGGCCAAACAATTTGTCGGCGAAATGGTGTCGGTCAAGTGATGTGTCGGTCAAGTGATTGTCGGCCAAGTGATGTGTCGGTCAAGTGATTGTCGGCCAAGTGACCCGGACCCTGGATAAGTAAGTATTCGAGTTTCGTTGTTCGAAAAGATAAATGATATAGATGAAATGTTTTTCATAACATCAAACGAATTATACTTAGATATACTTTTTTCTTTGTTATCATATTCATATATAATCTTCAATGGCTTTTGAGAGTCAAATTTCATTAAGAAAGAGTTGAATTATTGCATTAATTATTATGCGCCAATCGTATATACGTAAAACATTTATTCAATCTAATTTCATCGTATAATTGATCTCGTATATTTTTCTATCATGTTGTTATTGATATTATTCACATTGTATCCAAAATATATGCAATTATATGAAATGTTACCTGATTCATTATTAAATCGCACACAAATATGTCAAATTAATTGTACACAAAATCAAACTATGTTGGAGAATTTTGTGAAAATTTCTGGATGTATAAAAGATCATTTTAAAATATGTGAAGCGTATTTAAGTATGGATTTTAATACACAATTAGTATCATATAGTTTTACAACTGCTGATGCAATTGACAATGTTAATGAAAATTTCTCATTAATACGAGCTGATTTAGTTAGAAATTATTTATCATATATCAAAACTGATATAACAGCAATACGATTTCGACAATTAAAAATGAAGTTTTCAAAAACAAATCCTCATCGACTTAATATTAATTATTGTAAGTTTATTAATTTTATTTCAATATATATATATGTATATATGTATATAATAATTCATTATGAATAGTTTGTCGAACACAAATTGATGACGTAAGCTATATGAATTCATTCGTTTTCTTTTTTTGTGTACATTATTTTTCTTGCTAGTGTGCTTATCAAGGTAAATTTTCTCCATTAAAACTATTGATAGTTATTTATTATTTAGAAATCGAAACAATCTATCCAGTATATATAGCAAATCAACATATGTTAAAACGTATTCAACCAATATTTTATGATCCATCAATATCTTATGGTGCAAAAATCGAATGTATGAATGATATATCAAATGAAACGACAAGTTTATGTTCAGGTTATTGTACATTGACATTAGGTTTACACACAATGACTAAAAGTTGCAATAAAACATTGTCATCAGATGCATTAGGTATCAATATGTCATTAGGTTTAGCTTATCCTAATAATCCAAAATTTACTGCTCAAGTATCCAGTCTTGTACTTGTATGTAATAAACCAAATTGTAATAGTAATGCATCAATAACAAAAGTTATAGCTATTGCTAATGCTTTTCTTACAGCTCAATCGATTGGAATACGAATAATAGGCATCCATCGATGTTTCTTATTATTGTATGGTGTTGTGTCCTTTTTTTGGATTACTAAAGTTATAATAAAATAAAATTAAACATTTTTGTGAAACACAATCTAAGAGGCATGTTGAAGAATAACGGTGAAAATTTGAACTTCACTTTCTCGCTCCACCCTCACCACAGACTATGACAAGCATTGTTGATAGACGATGACGTATCGTACATCAATAATGTTTCATTATAATATTTGAACTACTTCCTTATTGCATTTCTGGAGGATTAAATAAAAGGCTGGTGAATAAAATAATATCTCTGTGATGAGCAAGGACAACTACATCGCGTTTCACATTTTAACCCCATAGGAATTGCGCTAACAGCTTTTTTTGTAGCAAAGAAAAATTACTAAACTTTTTTCCTTTGTCGAATCTAAAAAGACGTCTCGATGCCGAAAGGGCGATATTATTTATGAACTTCTTCAAGTTGTATGACAATGTTAACGAGATTTTTTTAAGAGATATTGATTCTCAATTTGCAATCATAAATTTTGTATGATTACAGTTTTAAATTATAGCCTAATACGAATTATTGTTTTTATTTCTATATGAATGACACTTTTTAAGCAATGTAAATTTCCATGTGATTCAGACCAGACAAAAAACTACTGACAGACCGTTTAGTGCTATATGCGTTATACAGCGATTATTTGTTGATAATGATAAAAAAACCGCCGGTATACGGGCAATCAACTGACAGTAATTTGATACTAGAATGGTCGGTTATTCTCTGGTCGCCATTATGCCCCGATATACCAGCGGCAGTGCAAACAAACATACAACATCGCTTTTGATATTTTTCTAACGTCATCGACGTTTTTATTGAAATGGTATGAAATAAGCCACTTTTTTCAAACACACAATGATATTTTATCTTGTATTAATCATTTCTTTTGTCAATAAAAATACCTTGTTTCTTCCTTTTTTTCATTGATGTAAATATATGTTTGTGCTTTCTTTTAACTTTCAAATTTTCTTTTCTCTTCACCAGAACATGTAAAATAAAAACAACAATAACAAATTAAAAATAAGTTTGTTCATTATCGATATTTGTATTAGTAGTGAATGATTTTAATTCAGGATGAGTTGGACTTTTAACTTTTGATTTGAATTCTTTAACAAATGCCATACTAACTTTATGCATATTCATTAATTTTTTTTTTGATGATGATAGTTTTATTCGTTCATGGGTATCTTTAACAGGTAGACTATTTTTTAAATCACACGAAACAATTGTTTGTGAAGCAGATGTTCCAGAAGAATTTGGTGATAATCGACGAATAATGGATTTATCAATAGTTACAGAAGATGTTGTTGATAGAATTGAATGAATAACTACTGGAATAATTGTTGGTTTTAATTCAGAATGAAGTACTATGTCACCTATGACGATATTTTGATAATGATGATGATCATGATTATTATTCAATGTAATTTGATTTAACATGCTCCTATTCCTTTTTGCTTTTTTTTTCTTAGTGAAGAATGCACCGTTGATGTGAATGGTGTGCTCTTTTTCTTTTGCATTGCTGGCGTACACTTCACCTTTGAAACCTTGCATGTGCTTTCATTGTCGTTTTTTTCGATCCTTACGTATTTGAGTCATTCAGCCATTGCTTACATACATAGACACTTTTGGTATCCAGTAATTTAAAGAAACCTTGAGATATTTTTTTGATATAATATGGACCTTGTGTTTAAATACCTTAAAATTATTTTTTGTTTTGTGTCATATTCATGATAGATGCTATCCTATGTAATATAGATTAGTCAATCATTACTTATCTAAAAGTATAAAAGAAATTTCGTGAATAGGAATGACTCATTAATAATAGAATGTTATTTTTGACCAAGATAAATTATTTCATGTCATTTATTACGTCATTGGAGAATTCATAAACACTCCATATGGCATAATGTAACAAATAATATATGACTTTCTATAGTGAATAATTTAAAAAGTATATTAGTTTAATTTTCTGATTTTTGACATTTACGAATTAGCTAACATCATCAACAATTGTTAATATTATTTTTTATATACTAATATCTATAAATTTGTTTGCTTGATAATTAATTTTCTTTTTGGAACGTAAATTTATATCAAGGCGATTCTATTAAATCTAAGATATTTACTTTTTCCAATGAATAAAAGCTTTGAATCTTAAATAACTTAATCGATACTTTATGTCAATATTTCCATTTTGTAAATAGCAACAATCGGTTATCTTTAAATTATTTGTCATCGACAGATTAAATCATCATTGTTTTCATTCCACTACTTGAGAAAAATCTTCTGAGAATTAAATTGTTGTTTGACATAGATATCATACTTAAACAAAATTGGTTAAAAGATGAAAATTTATATTTAGAAAAAAAGAAAATTTTGAGAAGGAAGGATTAATTCTTCTTGTTATACTGATGGATAGTTCTTGTAGCCTTATTCTGGTATATTCTCAAGAAGTAGTTAGCAGCAAAGGATTTGCTACAACACAAAAAAATATAACGGTATAAAATACACGCACAGTGTCAAATATAATAATAAGATTCAAACAAAAGAGGAAGTGATAATAATGACGGTTCATAATCTTCTTCTTGCTGTGCATTGTAATGAAGAGAACATGTTTGTGTGCATGTGTGTATAAAAAAAAGGGAAATGATGATAAAAAGGAATAGACATGTATAAAAAAAGACAAAAGAAAAAGAAAGCAAAAAAGAAGGCAGGAAAAACAAGACAAGTGACAAAAGTTGATTATTTTTTCTAATTTTAATGTCTTTGAAGTGTTTATCTTCGATGCTATCAAGTCGATTCATTTGGAAACGGACCTTGAAGAAGAGCACGGACAAAAACTTCATAATTAAACATGCCTTCGGCATCATCTTTTGTATTTGTTGAACGAAGAATTTCTTCAACAGCGCGTGGATCAAGTTTTTCAGCCATAGCAACAAGGACTTGGGTAAGTTCAGCCAATGACATTAAACCATTGCTTTCTTTATCGAATAATTTTAAACCTTCCATAAAATCCTCATATGTACCAAAATTTTTAGCTGGCATTTTATAAAATTCTGAATAAATAGGCAAAAATTCTTCGACTTTTATTGATTTTTCTCCTGTTTTTTTTGTTTGACCACGTTTTTCGCATTCAGCTTGTGTTGGGTAAAGACCAAGAGAACGAAGCATATCTCCAATATAATATGAATCAACTTTACCCTTTTTTTTATTATAAAGAATATGAGAAGATGAATATGTAATATTTCATAAAATAAAATAAAATAAAATAAGATTTTTACCTCATATTTCTTATCGAATACTTCAAAGACTTGTTTGGCTTCGTCAACTTTATCACTGGGTAAATCGGCCATTGCTGCTATGGTTTAGGTTGGATTGTTCCTAATGTGTTTGTAAGATGTTAGAATGCAAAAGAGAACGACGATTACAACAACGGTAGTAGTAGTTTGCAATAGTAGCAGCAACAGAACAGAGGAAAAAAAATATAGAAGATATCAATCCGTTTAGCTATTCCGATGATTTTGGTATCAAACAAGGCAAAAAGAGAAAGAGGACGTAAGAAAAAAGAGGTTATTTCCGTCGATATGTTATCCAATCGTTTCTTGCCTGTTGTTGTACTATATTTTTTTTTCTCCTTTTGCAGTATTAGTACTAGCGTTAGTGATAATCATATTCAACGACGCGGGATTATAGATAATCAATATGGAAAGAAAAGAACGAGAGAAGACTAAAGAAAGAAAAAAATAAAAAATATTATGAGATATGATTAGAAATTGTGCGAAAAAATTTTTTTTTTCTTTTATTGAATGAATTAATTTAGATCATAAGTTTTACTTATGTATCTTCTTAGAGGTAAAAAGAATCCATAAATATATCTATTTTTATTTTTATTTACTCTTTTGTTCGTATTATTCTTGTTGTTGTCATTATTATCATATGTGCAAAAACAGAAAAACCTTGGTAATATATTGTTAACTGCTGTTTCTTGCTCTTTTCGCGCTCGACAGCCTTGGACAACGTTATATCAATGACGACATTGTCTCTCGCGTGGAAAAGAATACTTCCGTACACAATAGCGAATTTGTCGGACTTGATTTGTTATTATGGGAATAAAAAAAAGAGGATGAAAAGGAAGAGGAGTGGGGCAGAATTATATGTACACGTTTCTACTCGAACAACATCGAGATATAAGAAAAAAAATAGATATATAGCATTGATTCGATGATAGATTATTCTGAAAAGAATGCTGCTATTTTGAAAACTAATGTTGTTTATGAAGATAGATGTTTTTTTCGAAGTGTTTTTGCCACAAAATATTACAGATTTTGGGTTAGTAGTATGGTAATCATCAAAGTAAATATCTTGCCAGATAATAAGCCTTGCTTATATTATTATTATTAGTATTAAATCGTAGTAGATATATAATTTCTAATAATCATATTATTTACTGAACTGTGAATATGACGAGTTTATTGAATACATATGATTTCGAGAAACTTAAAATTTACAAAAACAAATCGTAATCATTCAATATCATAAAACACAAACGACTTTTTTTTTTGTACAAACGTCGCAAGCAAACGAAAAATTCTTGTTTGTTATTCTTCGATTTCTATTCGATAATAATACTTAATTGGATTCATTTTCTTTCTTCGTTGTTTTGATTTTTTCATACAAAGTTAAGTTTTTTTTTTCCTCACGACAAAACTACCCGAAAGTACATTCGTCATTGAAGCTTATATTGAGTCTACCATAACATCTTGATGAGATTAGCAATAGCCTAAACGAGTTCGTCCTCATGGGCCTTTGAAGCCGGGTTATGAACTTTTTTCCTGAATTTTCAACTCATTTTTAGTTATATAAAGGAGAATAAAAAGAATGAAATTCAATTTAAAATGTTGCCCATTATTAGGTTTAATGATTCATAGAATATCATGAAGATGTCAATCAAAAACAATTTCCCTTTATCGAACTATTAAATTGTCAATTAAACTCGTTTTTGATCCCAAGCAAAATATATTTCAGAAATTCAATATTTCAAGAATAATAAAATTCTTATTGGTTAAGACTAGAAATTTCGGTTCTTTTTTAACTTTCAGTATATACTTAAAACTGGGTGGAAAAATTAGTAAAAAAATCATAACTCAGTCTCGAAGGTCTATGGAAATAAATTCCTTTTAGACTTCTGTTGATCTCACCAAGACGCCCATATTGTTCCAATATGAGCTAAAACGGCAGGCATCAGGTTGCCTTATTCTCTGGATAGTCATCTGAATATGTTTGATACGAATGAAGGATAGATGTTTGCCTATTACTAACATATCAGTATTATCTAATCTTTTTGAAGCTGATTTTATTGGTGATAAAGTAATTGTATCCAATCAACGAATAATCAAGTTCATCAATAGTAATAGATTGAGAAGTTCATAGAACATGTTTAACACATAGTTTATTATTATTAATCGTCGACTTTTGCTTTATATGTTAGTTGGATCAATTACATCAAGACGAATAATACTTTTGACATCTGATTAATAATTATCATTGATTAATCGTATTTTGAAACGTTGAAATAGAACATGATTTATTTGAATAAGATTTCGAATTCTTGTATTATTTTTAATTTGACATGAAAATTTTCAATTAATTTTATTTCTTGAGAATGTAATACATCATTATTCATGCTGTATATGTGTTCTTCATTTTTCTATAGATCTAATTCAAGATAAATGAATATTTTTCCACTCATTTCAACAGAAAGATTATGCTCATTAGTGGTGATATCTATGAATTTTTCGATCATAATTATTTTCAATTGTCGTTAATGAACTTTTAGTATGAAAGATTTTTTGTCTGTGTCTGATAATGATTAAGTTGTCACGGAATAGAAAGAACATTTGACAAATGTACCATATTAGGTCTACAACAATTTGGATCAGAGATTCATGCGACAATCTCGCGCTCTACGCCACTCCACACTTTAGAACTTCTTGGAAGAACACTGGAAGGAACGAATTAGCCTTGGTGAAACACGCTCATAAAGCAAATCACAAAAGAGATGTGCCATGCACTCATGCGTGAGCAATGGCGCAGAGTAGCACAATATCATCTCAAGGATCTCTGATTCGGTGAAGACCTTATCCACTATAAAATAAATAATAACTAACTTTTTCAAAATATCAAAAAATCTAAACAAACCAAAAGTTAAGCTAGCAAGACTTCAAAACTATTGGTTAATTCATAGAATTATCTATAAAGAAATAAAATATTTTTTTCTAACTGTAGAATTAAATTCAATATTGACACATATTCTGTTGTGTTGTCTTCATTGATATTGTTGGAATACAAAACTAACCTGAATAAGTACATACAGTTTTTTTTATAATATAAAAAAACCTTGAAACCGTGTTATATCGATTGAAAATTTTGACTGAAGAAAAATCAAATTTCATTTTTTTAAATTCATCAAACTTTACCTGCTAATAGCAAGGCTCACAGTTGCTCACAATCACCGAGAATCCATACGTTCAGTATTTGTAACTACTTTTATATGCAATAATTGAAATACATAAATCACATATAATATAATCATAATTTATATTTTGAACAATAATAACGCTAAATTAAAGTTCAATTTTAGATTCATTATCCAGTTGTTGCAATTTACTGATAGAATCTATATACTGGACTTGCCAGGTACTATAACGATTATGTTTAGCATAGTACTAAGACGTTCGTAAACTAGAATCTTATAATAGTTATCCAATAAGTTCAAGTGCAATGTTATATGATCAATTGAAAATTATTTGTATCAGTCATTAAACACGGACTGGACATAAATGAAAGAGTATTTTCAAGGTCAATTTACTTTTGGATTTTATCATGAAAATAACACTCTCCATAAGTATAACATCAAACCAGTCAAAAATATTTTGAGCTATAATTACAATAGTGCAATTCTGATAAACAATTGTATTCAAAGATATTAAATTCGGTTGACATGTAGTATCATACTCATCAGCATCTATCCACAACGAATAGTACTTACATTTGATTCATTTGTAATAACATTAAATGAGTGACATCATAGTAGCTCTAGGTGCATTATTATATAGTCCATTGTCGAATCCTCGCAACTATTTACTCTCCATTGATATAGATCAAGTTACATTTGCACTCGAAGCTAGATTACGTCATGCAATATTTTGAAAAGGAAACGGAAAAATCATCAACTTATTGCAAATAAACTATATCGAAAAATTGTTCAGTTATAAATCCAATACATGTTAAAATATTTGTATAATGAGGTGCAGGAGTGAAACAACATAATTAGTCGATTTGTTAATCCAAGTTGATATGCCATTGGATCTGTTCTCGATATCAATAATAATGTGCATTGTTTCATTTTCAATATTTACTTTAATTTCTATTGTTATTATAAACTTTAGATAGTTTAAATCTTTTACTGTAACTTTATAAACATTCAATTTGATATATTCTTACGAAAAAAAAAAAATAATCAATCGTAATATCAAAATGAATCATTAAAAAAGATGTAACATATTCGTTTCTACGGTTATTAAAATACTTGAAGAGCAATAAATGACTTACTATAAAGAAATGCATGAATGATTCAATCATTTTAAAATACGTCAAGCAAATAATTAAAACGTAATAGTGAAATATTTGCGTGATATGAAGTCTATAATTATAATAAAAATTCAAGTAAATATGAAAAAAGAATAAGAAATGATACATATTTTGAAACATGATCTAAAATGGCATTGCTGAAATATAGGGATACACATTTGAATCCTCCTCTCTCGCTCCCACTTCATGGACATGGCAGACATCATGAAGATATCCCTCCTCCTTTCTGGAATTTCTCGGAAAAGCTCAATAAAAAAATGATGAAACTTTATACGTAAATAGATCTCGATAAGTTGAACAACACTTGTCATAGACACGCAATTCCAAGATGCTTCCTTTAGGAAAATATGAAGGTCGCAAAGGCTAAAAATGGTCAAAAGTTTTCTTTCCGCAAAACTTTATACTTCATTTTTTCGAGCTTCAATTTTTTTATGATAACTAGCATCAAATTGGGGTGCATGTTTTTTTTCTTCCAAAAATGTTGTTGCTACACTTCATCAGAAGCAAAATACTGAAAGCACCATCAAAAAACTTTTTGATTTTAATAATATTAATTTTTTAAAGGCTGCTAAATTTCATAGAAACAACATTTTGCAGAAAACAAAACTCCGATTTGACCTAAGTACTCATTAAAAAAATTTAAGTCTGATGTAACGTACTGTGTGCCAGGAAAGGGAAGAAATCTTGTTTATTTTTGTTCAAAAAATTGACGTTGAGACAAACATGCAACAAAGTAAAATTTTGTGTTTTACAAATGCATCATTTTTACTCATTTTGAATTATTATAGAGTATATTTCCTTACAAATCACATGTACATATAAAGAGCTGTTTCTAAGAAAGATTCATCTTATTAAATAGCATTTCTCAACTGTGAAACAAGATCTTTAATTGAAGGGATTGATGAATACAAGTCATGATTTTTCTTCTTATACGTTGATTACTTCATGTAAAGGACTTGGTTTGTTTATTTTATTAGTATTTTTCAGATAGTTAAAAGTACTTCTGTCTAACTACAACAAGAAAACATTTTCAACGATGACTGCTCTCGATAATGGTAGCGACCAGCAACAATAGCAACATAATTTGTTCTTGATATTTACGCTTATTTTCTTCAAATCTTTCTTTACAATCTAATCAAATATTCCCGGCGCATACGGATACATTTCTTCATTATTGTGATGCTACTCTGTTAAACAAGATAAATTCACAATATTTTCACCTAAACAAACATACTTTTTTCAAGATAGGGATTCTCGAAACTAAGCTTTTCTAGGGCTTCCTTGACTTGGTAGACTTCTACTTTTTATAGCACTTAATAGAGAACATTTCAATATATATTTCGAAATGAAAATCTCGAAATTGGGAAAAAAAACTTTTTTGGGTAAGGAAAGAGGAATCCCATGAAGAGACTAATACTGGCCGTGACAGACACCTTAGCAACGGCTCTCCATCATCACAAACATCACCGCGAGATCGAAGTCCACTGCCAGATTAGTATGATAGTTGTCGGTTACTTTCCTTTCACATTCACTGAAATATTTTGTTATTAATATCTTTCATCGTCAACATATATTAACAGTAAATAGGACTTCATAAACTGAAATACATATTGACTAATTTCTTCATTTACAATACAAGCAGCTCAATCATGTTTCACCTTTAAGCTTGTAGAGATTGCGCTAACAGCTTTTGTTATTGACATTTTAAAAAAGCCTAATTATGACCAAAAGTATCACCTTTTCTGCACAGTTGATGATCTTGATCTTTATCGATACATACTTATTAGTTTTCTATTTCATATTGGAAAAAAAAAGTTTTGATTAAGCTTGATCCATAGCGGAATTACCTGTATTTATTAAAAGATCATGAATTTGAAGATACCCTGTATACATACATAGAACAAAAAAAAATTAAAACTCTTGCCGAGGTAAATGTCACCTAATACACACATATATTTACAGACAAAAACAAAGGAAAAAATTCATCAGTAAAAAGATAATAACACAAATGGGCACAAAATTGAAGAATACAAAATAGATAAGAAAAAAATTATTTTGTTTGTTTTTAGTTTGGTTATTTGATATAAGAATGGTAGAGCATTTTTATACAATACAAACAGTACAGAACGATGAAAAGAATTAAAAAAAAAAAAAACAGAGAAGTTCATAGCACATCTTTGGATAGTTATACATCAAGGATATCACCTTGACTGTGGCGTTTATGTTCAAGACTTTCTTCATGTCTTTTCTCTTTAATTTCTTCGAGTCGCGATCGAAATTCAACAATAACTCGAAACTAAAGAAGAAAAAACAAAGGGCAATTTATAAAAACAAAAAGAATAATAATCGAAAAACAAACCTCTGAATTAAGACGATCGACACTTTTTCGAAGCATATATCTCGCAAATGCTGGTGGTGGTTCAGTAACAACTGTTGCATTAGTTAATTGACCAATTGTAGAATATTTTGCGAATATTTCACCACCAGTAGCATCTCGATCATGTTTATTAACCATTTTTACTGATTGTTTCTTTTTACGTTTACCATCAGCTTTTTCATCTTCTGTTTCTCCTCCTTCTTCTTCTTCTTCTTCTTCTTCTTCATCTTCTGTCTTTTTTTTCTTATAACAACATGGACAACAAATGCGATATAAAGCTGAAAAGCATTTACTAAATGGTGTAACTGGAATGCATAAAAGAATCTAAATAATTAAAGCTAATTTGTAAGAATAAATTTAGAAAAAATCAAATAAAATACCTGTTGCCATATAAGTGATCCAACACCGAAAAGTAAACTCCATGCCCATTGCTTAATATCTAATCGTGCACAACTGAAAACTTTATCACCAAAAGTAACAATTAGAATCTAAAAATATTGATAGTTTAATAGAATTTTTCTATATTTATCTTTTTTCTTACTTGTGCAGCAAAACAAAATAACCAAATACCATAGAAAAATGGATTGCTAAATATTCCTTTAAATACATTTCTTTCACCGTGTAATTTTCTAGCATTAATTTCATTAAATAAAGTCATTAATACAAATGCATTAAATACCATAGTAAATTGTGCACTTATTTCTCTTCCAGCGCGTGAATTTTTTTGAATTTTTTCAACAGTTGACTCAACACCCAAAAAATATTGTCCAGCATAAAGTATAATAAACATAATAACAAGTTGATACAAAGATTGACCAAGAATATTACGTAACATTAATGGTGATATAATTGTTTTTGTACGACCATAAGGTTTTCGTTTTAATAATGCTTCTGTTGGTGGTTCTGTAGCTAATGCTAATGATGCTAATGTATCCATAACAAGATTAACCCAAAGCATTTGAACAGCTCGTAATGGAACACTCTAGAAAAAGAAAAACATATTTTTCTAAATAAGGAAAACTGTTAGTAGAATTCTTGTGTATAAAAAATGTGAAACATGTTTGATCTGTATATATTGTAAATTAGAGAATTCCGCAAAATATGTTTCAGTTTGAGATTTTCAACCTACTGATATGTCCGTAATGAAAGATGTTATTCGTTCTATGCTACATTGTGTTTAGAAAGAGGAACAAAGACAGGTATCTTAAATTCAATCTTCTTTCATAGAAATTTCATAAAAGAATTTAGTTCTGTGGCTAAGTCTACAATAGGCTGTAATGTGCAAAGATATTGCCAAAGTGCCTGTTACGATCCATATGGAGTTCATATTTTTACCTCTATACTTCAACACTAGATATGTGAGTGACAAAGTTTTCTTGGTCTCGGTCTCTCCAACTTTTTTTTCCATCGATCCCGGTCTTAGGTTCGATTCCGATCTGGTCTCGATCCACAGAAAACTATTTCAGAACTCAGTCGTATCACATCTAAAAAAAATTCTTCAATGTTCCCTTTTTTTTATGTACTTAGTCGATAACTTGCATCTTTTTCGGTCATCTCTCTTGATTTATTTTCTGATTGACATAATTTATAAGATAATTTGTTTAACAAAAATAGAATATTTAATTAAAATCTTTAGCTCCGATTGGGACAACTTTTCTTTCGTAGTCCCGATACCACAAATCTCTATTCAAGACTTCTTTTTAGATCGTGTTTTATCAAAGAAATAAGAATCTAGATCATACACTAATAGCTGCAGCTGATATAACTGAAATGACACCAGCTGATAGATTAGCAGTAAGTTGAAATTGAAGAAATTTTGCAATACAATCATAAACATTTCGTCCCCACATCATTGCTTTAACAATCGATGAAAAATTATCATCAGTTAAAATAATATCCGATGCTTGTTTAGCAACATCTGTTCCTTGAATACCCTAAAAAAAAAATAAACAAATTTTATTTGTTCTATATTCAATAAAATAATATCATCTGGCAATATATCACACATAGATAAGATAAGTTTTATTTTATTTTTTATTTCAGAACTACACTTCGAACTAACATAAAATACGTATGAAGATTTGTTTGATACTCGAAAGCTGTTTCTTAAGTTATAGTTACTGTTTTTTTCACAAGTGTACAATTGTCATTTTCGTTATGAGTGTTGGATTTTAGACACTCTTGAATAATGATTATTACGACGATTAATTACTGCATTTACAAATATTCCGATTATTGAAAACAAAACTTAAAGCTATTTTTTTATGAAGTACTGATTCAATACATATTTGCATACAATAAGATTGTAGAATCTACTGTATAAATTTTCTTTTTGGATATTTCGTTGTTATAAAGAAATTTTTCCCTGAAGATATATTCAAAAGTATTCTCGATACTGAATGAAATAGTATTTGAGAAAAGAATATAAAAAATCTAAAAAGAATCTAATAATTGTTTTCATTTACCATAGCAAATCCAACATCAGCACGTTTTAATGCTGGTCCATCATTTGTTCCATCACCAGTGACAGCAACAACTTCTCGATGTTGTGTTGCTCGACTTTCTACAATACCATTGACTAAATTATATTTATCTTGTGGTGATGAACGGGCTAAAACACGTAATTTTGGCCAAACTTCATCAAGTTTCTCTTGTGAGATCTGAACATAATAGAAATTCAAAAACAAATATATAAAAACAAGCAACAGTTCAAAAATTTCATTTTTCTAACCTTTCCTGATGAGTCACGAATACGTTTATTAAATTCTTTTCCTTCAAGTACAAGAAAATCATCATTTGGTTTAATTATGCCACATTTTGTTGCTATTGAACGAGCTGTCATTATATTATCACCTGTTACCATACGAACAACAACACCAGCTTTTTGACATTTTTCAATAGCTTCAGGTACCTAATAAAAATATGCGTAGATTATTAAAAAAATATAAGTTTATTCAAATAAGCGTACTTCTTTACGAACAGGATCTTCAATTCCAACAATAGCAATACATGTTAAATCATTCACAATGTTATCTTCATCATCCCAATTTTGTGTTTCTTTGCCAAGATCTTTATATGTAATACAAATTGTTCTTAAACCATCATTAGCCATTTTTTCAATAATATCATGTCCTATTTTATTTTTTTCATCATCATTTAAATCTTTTGGTTGATTATCTTCGCCAATAATTGATTTACATCTTTAATGAAAAATATAAAAACTAAAATAATTTATTCAATAATTCGTACTTAGTTAAAACCATTTCTGATGCACCTTTCGTATATAATCGATATCCTTCATCACGTTGAATAACTGTACTCATCATTTTTCGTGCAGAATTAAATGTATATACTTTAACTAACTTATCTTCAGGAAATTTTCCACGAATTTCATTATAGGATCCATTCCATTTTTGTACTAAATCAAGTAAAGCACATTCAGTTTTATTACCAATTTGTTTTGGTAAACCACCCTCATCTTGTTTTGCTTCCTAAATGTATAAACTTCAATAAATAATTTCAATATAATTTATCCTTACCTCTATTTTTGATGTATAGTTTGAATTAACAGTTATAGATTCGAAAATGACTCCTAAGAAATCTTGATTATTAATTTCTTCATGTTTCGGTATTTGTTCATAGTATTTTCCTAAGAGAAAAAATTATATATATACATAGATATATATATTTACATGGGTAATAATGAATAATAAATAATCTAGGGAAATGAAGTAGACGACCCTAAAAAATAGACCAAGATCATAATACTGACCTACCAGTAATATAGCATTGTACAGCTGTCATTCGGTTTGTTGTTAATGTTCCTGTTTTATCTGAACATATTGTTGATGCATTACCCATTGTTTCACAAGCATCTAAATGCCGAACAAGATTGTTATCTGTCATCATTTTCTATTTAAATAAAATGAAATATTAATCAAATTTAATAATTATATTTTGTCTACTAACTCGAACAGCATAGGCAAGAGCGAGTGTAACAGCCAATGGTAGACCTATGTATACAAAAAAAAAAAATATTATATCTTAAGTATTAAATAAATGAACTAAACCTTCTGGTACTGAAACAACAACGACAGTAATAGCTTGAATAAGAAATGAAATAAAATAACTAGCATCAGCTGCTTTGCCTTTCTGTTTTTTAATAACATAATTTGTTATACAGAAACGAATAATTAAACAGACTAATGTTAAAAAAGCAGCAGCCATACCCAAATAACCAATATATAAAGCTAGTCGTGTTAATTTTTCTTGGAGAACAGCTAAAATAATTTCTTTTTAAATTTAAATTATTTGTTTTTCATTTGTTTTTCTTACATTTATGTTTATTAGGGTTTGATTCATTTTCATCATTGTCACCGTTTTCAGCAGCTGCAGCTAATCCAGCTAAACCAGCAGGTTTTTGGTCAGGATCTTCTTTCACATTTTGACTATTTTCTTGTTTGTCTTCGGATTTATTTTTATTATCATTAGAAGCATCTTGTTTCACAGATGATTCTGTTGTGTGTTGATTATTAGGTTGTTTTTGTTGATTTCCATCCGATTGTTTGTCTTGTTGTTTATCATTATCATCATTTGTAGTAGATTTTTTCTTTTGTTTATCATCACTATTTGGTTTCTTTTCTTGTTCATTATTATTATTTGTTTCTTTTTTCGTTGGTTTCAATTCATATTCATCATTATTTGTTTCTTTTTTCGTTGATTTCAATTCATGTTCATCATTATTTGTTTCTTTTTTCGTTGATTTCAATTCATGTTCATCATTATTTGTTTCTTTTTTCGTTGGTTTCAATTCATGTTCGTCATTATTTGTTTGTTTTAATGCTGGTAATTTATGAACACGTGAATGTCTTGTTGTCGATTGATTCTTTTCATTTTCTTCATGTACAGTTTCAATATTATGGTCATTTTCATTTTTTTTCGATTTGTCAGGTGATACTTTTGTTGATGATAATGATTTTAGTTTTGAAGGTTTTTTATTTTCATTTTTTTTATTTTCATTTTTTTTATTTTTCTTTTTATCTTTTTTTTTCTTTTTAGAATCATCATCTGTTGCACCAAGTAAACTCATAATTCTACCGACTTGTGAATTAAGACCAACACCAACAATAAGCATTCGACCACTACCTTCCATAACATTTGTACCTGATAATATTCCAACATCTTCTTTCTCATTTTTCTTTACTAAATCCGTTTCTCCTATAATGAAGATTTTAATTTTTAAAATAAGTTGTTGTTAGTGTAATCTTTGTGGAATTAAGATATGAATCACGATATTGCTAATCACAAGGAGATTGTTTTATTCTATCTATTTTGGGATACTTTCTTTTTTTACTTAATCTTCCAGAAATCCAATTAGGAAATAGTTCATATATTATAACGAGACGTTATTGATGTCCGATCTACCATGGTATGCGGTACGGCTCAGTGAGCATTTTTCAATAGACAATATAATCAGAAAAAGGCTAATACAATAAAAACGTTTTTACTGAAAAATCACTGTAAGATCTTTACCCTATGTGTATATGAAAAGCAGTTTCTACAGGAAGATTAATAAATTCTACATCATTTGCTACTGATTTCAAATATGAAGTTAGTGTTCAATAAAAATGCTTCTATGTCAAGAAAAACGAATTTTTGTCTTGAAAACCTATAGCTTAGCTACGCAACGCTCGGGCTGATTCGTATTAATACTATATCGTTATGAAACACTGTATAGAAGTTTCATGACCTTTGAAGTTATGAAAAATTATGCCAACTCATTATATTGAACATATGTCTCCGTAAAAGCACTTGATATAAAAGAATAATGATTCTTCTCGAATCACAAATAGATAAACACGAAAGTCTTTTTTACGAAAAGATAGAGTGAAAAACACAATTTCAGATTATTTATAATTTCCTCAGGAATGTTTTTTCCCCTATGTTTCTAATACACAATAAAAAACAAAGCTCCTACTCCACAATAAAAAACAAAGCTCCTACTCCACAATAAAAAACAAAGCTCCTAATCCACAATAAAAAACAAAGCTCCTAATCCTTACTAGCGACATTTTTCGACAAAGTTTCTTCTGTATTCTCCGAATAATACTAACAAGAGGACAAAGACTTTTATGTCATTAAATAATATCTATCGGTCAGAAAAAATGTACCTCCATTTAAATTATCAGAAAGTTCACTTTCGATTTTTCGCCTAATGTTCTCCTGAATGTCCACAGTGGAAATAGGTTCCAAAATGTTATCCTTATTCTTCAACACTCGTTTCAGATCGTGTTTCACAAAACTTAAATAAGTTTATGAACCTGTTAAAGACGATTCATCAATTTTAAGATCACTTGACTGAACGATTAAGCCATCAGCTGGTAAAAGATCACCTAAAAAAGAAGATTTTTATTTTAAAAAAATTAATTATTAATCTTATTATTTTTACCATATTTAATAAAACAAAGATCACCAACAACAAGTTCTGAAATAGGAATTTGTTGTATACGACTATCTCGTACAACAGACGTTTGTTGATCTTTGTCAATTTTATTTTGTAATCCACGAAATTGACGTTCTTTTCGCCAATCATTGACTGCAGTTACAAGTACAACGACAAGAACGGCAACAAGAATAGCTACACCTTCGATCCATTCAAGATTTGCTAAAATAAAATTATTGATTTAGACTTAATAGAACTTTAGGCAAGTGATTTTTGTTATATCATTCATAGATAAAATAAACTCAATTAGGTCATCATGTTTTTTAGGTTATAAGATTAAAATAATAATTTAGCCAATTTTTATACGATAAATAAATATCTGTTGTATTTTTATTGTATTAATATTTACCAAAATAAAAAATTAAAGAGGAAAAAAATCATGTTTTTTTATTCGAAATAAATTCGTTAATGTATTGTTTTATCTATGTATGCAAATATATAATCCTAATCCAACATAGGTTTTTTTTTCTTCATGTAAAACTTTGTCAATATTAAAAACATCTCTTCATTATAATCTTTGACGTCAATAAGACCCTTTTTCTGTTCTTTTTTAGTCAATGACATCTGTTTTATTATGATCATTTGCTTTATTTTATTTTTATGTGCAAACATTTATTTGCATGCGTAATGCAATATGACGTTTGTACAAAACTTATTTTTGTTAGTGCACTGTAGAAACTGTTAATTATGAAACTTTTACTAAGCATTTGTATGTCAACCTCTGGAGAAAATTTTCAAAGGAAATAAAGTTTTATGCATACAGAGTACATCGTATGAATGATGACGGAAGGAAAGAAAAAACGAAGTCAAAAAGTGTACGAAGAATCAGCTATTAATAGGATAATTTGTTATGATTAATACAAGTCTCTATTTTGGTAGCTAAAAGGATCAATCGAAATTCTCTTCTTCTTTCATCTGTTTAGGTACAGATAAAAAAATGTAATGTTATGCTATGCTCACGTTCATCTTGTTTTTCTTCGCCTTCTTCTTGAGGTGGTTTATAAAATGATAGACCAACTGAAGCAATAGCACATATTAGTAATATAACTAATAACATATCATGAAGTGCATCCCAACATAATCTTAAAAATGTTTTCATTGGTTTAGGTGGTATTTCATTTTTTCCATAAGCTGTACGACGTTGTTCAAGATCCTGTTCATTATTTGAATCAAGACCTTTATTACCATCAACTTTTAATTTTTCTAATAATCCTTTAACACCATTATATTCAGATGAATTAAGTTTTTCCATTAGATCGTTTCCTCGTACATCCATAAGCTCTTTAAGTTTATCTAGTGTTATATCAAACATTGAAGAATCACCGCCACCAACAACAGCTTTATCAGCTGTTGGTTTTTTTTTGAACAAAGGCATCTAAATAATAAATAATTAGTTGAGATTTGTTAGACAACAATAATAATTAAATGAAACGTGAAAAAAAAAACGAATATTGAATCAAATTTCTTTCCTATCGTCGATTTTGAACTGAATTCTTTTTCTTTTCTATTTCATTTCTTTTATTCAAAAAAAAAGAACCTTCGAAAGAAAGAAACAAAGATTACGTTTATTATTTACCCAGATTACGACTTTCTTGTCCTCTTTGCCCTTTTCTACTAAGTTCATTGAAGGTATCACGTGTCCAAATTGTCATAAATCAACATCTCAAACTGTCCTATTCATTTTTTTCAAGAATAAACTCACTGTACTAATTGTTTTATAAATAGGAAACAAACAAAAATTCGTATCACGCATAAAAATATAAACATCGTCTTATCTTTTTTCTCTCAATGATGTTTACTGACGATGCATGTGAATGTTACTGGTTAGTAACAGCAAACACAGTTAGAATACATCTATATGAAACTAACTACAGGACAAATGCAAAATATCTGCTTCTTCTTAAATTGTAAAGCCGTAGCAAAGAATGAGACTTCTTTTGTCTTTCTTTTTATTCTATTTTTAGCTTAGTGATTCAGGGAGATGACGACAATCATGTATAGAAGTGAGTGAAAAGTGTAGGAGAAATGTAATACACATGTTGAGTGTACAGGGAACAAATGTTGGATATAATTATATTATATTATTCAATAGTTAATGCATCATTAGTTTTATAAAAAGTATTTCATTTTTAATATTAGGGTTCGTTATGTTCTTTAGTGTATTACTAATATTGATTTTTACCTGAGTCAAATGAGAAATTTCGAGAATACAGAAGATATTTTTGTTGCTGAGAATGAGCCAATTGTATGAAAGATCATCTGGACTAATATTATTACTCTCATCTTTTTTCTTTTCTCTCACTCTCTGATCGTTTCTTATCTTTCTGATGCGTTCCTTATTAGCGATGGTATTCCTGCTTCTCTGATTATATCTAAATACAGACATGAGTGTTACAACCTGGTGAATGTGATGTTTATTATTATTCTAATACTATCTACCATATAAACCTGTCAATCATCATGATTTTTTGGTATTTATGCCTCAGAACAATATCCAGACACGACACTAATTTCAATTCTAGATATTTTTCAATAGGCTGAAGCCGACTGTTCATAATTTGATGAGATCTTTTTTTTTCTTTTCGTTAAAAGTTTAGTGTTTTTACTAGAACAATAAAACCTACCTTTTTCTTGGGTTGTTTAACTTCAGTTTTTGGTGATGAATCCAATAATGGCGTTTCTACTTGTTTTGTGTCGTCATCTTCCTGTGAACGTTTTGATCTTGATGAAGAATGATTTTTCTTCGAAGTTTTATCTTCTCGAGCAGTTTTCTCTAATGTCGTGTCCGCCCTTTGAATAGAAAGAAAAAGTTTATTGAATATGCTTTTTTGGTTAATATATTTCAAAATATAGTTAACATTTTTTTTTTGTCTACTTCAGTCATCAAGAAAAAATGCCAATTTATTATACTGTAACTTAGATACAATTCATTTACACTTCATTCAAAGTGTAAATTTAATATACTTAGTATAAAGGTGTATCTCTCAGGAGTTTAAAAACTGAAACATATTGCATTAAAATGATGAAACGGATACGAAAATTGATGTATTTAAAATTCATTAAATGTTCATGTTAATCAACGAAATTGAAATACATCAATGTTTATTTGTTTTCGTGGTTTTGATAGAAACTTCATAATCATGAAGTTTTTTTCAGTTTATAATTTCATGGATCTAGCTATGTTTCTTTGCCACTGATTTTTATCTTGTACTACTTCTCTTTGTACATATACTCTAACCACTTGATCATTATCTTTCTGTATATAAATAATGTATGTGTAATAAGATAAAGCAGATACTTGTGAAATTGTGGACACTAAAGATGCTATCTTATCGAACGGCATAGGCAAGCACAATTATTATCTGCCACATTTAGTTGTTTATATATTATTAAGTCAAACATAAATATTGACGAATTGTTTAGTATTAATTCAAATAAGAAAGAATATCAATGAAAGTATTCAACAGTAAAAAACATACTATTATAACATATTTATCGAATTTTTTTTCTTTCCAAATATCTGTATGACATGAATAATACTTATACAGAAATTCTTTTGCATTTACTCAGGTAAATAAATATAAATAGATACTAATCGTCAAGGTAAGCTGTATATATCAAACTCGCTAAGTGATATATAATATGTAACCTGATGAGTACAAATAATTTCATGTTATGTCTAAATTTAAAAGCTTGTCTTTCTTTTGTTTGGAAATGAATTTTTATCAGTTTTTTTTCTTAATAAGAATATTTTTCAGAAAGTGAAATGATACGAAAGTAAGCTTTATGTTAATAAAAACCAATAAAATTTATTTGATATTGAATCTGAGATTCTAGACATAGGTCACTCATAATTTTTTAATATGACTATACAATACTTGTTCATTGTACTGATCTATTATTTATACTAATGTCATAGAAGAAATAGCTATGTCACAAAAAACATTAATAGGAATAAATTAAACGTTAAATTCAAATATTATTAATTGTATAATTTTGTGAAATACAATCTGAAAGAAGTGTTGAAGTATATAGAGTAGAACTATTGATATGCGATCGAAGACCGTATATCAATGACATCTCGTTACAACAAATGGCGCAGATTAAATGAGATAGTATTATTTTCTCTTTTGGGTCATTTCGACATATTTTCAGAGAGACATTCGGTAGAGAATTTTATGGTCTCTGCTTTTGCATCCTTTCCAAGGCATCTAGTATTATTGGTCATGAGAAAAAAAACTTGAGACTAAAACCTACTGATATTTTGATAAGCATATCGAAAGTGGCATATTTTTCCAAGTGAGAATTAGTTTATGAAACAGTCATCCTCATGCTGTCGGATGTGGAATTTAATTCCAAACAAAAATGTTGTGATTACTAAGCTGACAAGTGCAAACGATTAGATCGTATTGAAATAAAAATAAAAAGAACAACCGCATAATCGTGTCAGACAAGTACTTTTTTCCAGCTTTTTTTTGTCGTGATTATTCTCGAAAATATTTCTTCTGAAGTTCTGAAACATTTATCAAAACATGTAGAATATTTGATGGCATACTTGCCATTTTAGAAAACTTTTGTTGAAAAACCAAGTTTGCATAATTTTTTCCGTGTTTTTTTCATCGTCGTAATTTAGACGATTGAGTCAGTGTTAGTATTTTAAATTTTACTCCAACAAAGACAAAAACTTACTGGAAAAATAAACGCAACAGTTTTGTAAAGCAAACAATTTTCAATCAAATGACTTTCTGAAAGTATATCGACATGATCCGAAAAAGAAAATGATATGGTCTCATTTAATGTGCGCGACCGGTTAACGTATGAATTATTTCTTTGTTGCATTTTTTGCAGGATTAAATACAAAAAACTGACGAAGACATGTGTTCCAAAATAGATAAAATAAAACAATCTTCCTATGCTTAACAAGAGCAGCTACATCGTATTTCACATTTTTATCTTGCAAAGTTTTGTGCTAACAGCTTCTTTAGTTTACCTTCCTATTTGTTGTTAAACACTGGTCCAATATGAAAACATCTGCTTTACTAAAGTCTTGTCTTTTTTAATAATTATAATGATAATAAGGATTTTTTTATCAAGATCAGGCAATGTACGTGTTTTTTTTCATGGGGATTTTATCAAATTTCTTCTTTATGTCTAATGTTTTTCTTATAGCCTGGAGACCAGGAAAAAAATATGAATTTCCTAAAATTTTTATGTATTATATCTCTTCTTGATGTATAGGATCTTCACCTTTTGGTTTGTTTGTTAAGGTTAATAAACAAGAAATAATTCTCACTTCAATTGAATAACCAATTCTTGTATAGAATTTTTTAATGTCTCCAATTTTTCGAAATTAATTCAGGTATGTTTTAACCAGTAAGAACTTCTTTACACAGTTACATTCTATCGTCTATTATTCAATCTCTCGAGATGAAAAATCTGGATGGATTCATGTCAATCATCTTGCTTTACTTTAAAAAAAAATTGTTTGCGGAGCCCGTTTGGACTTGCAATGTGGAACTCATATGTCTTCTTTAACTTCATTACACTGATATAAAATAAGAAAAAAATTGCTAAGAGACCATAATTGCTTTCGAGCAAAGATTCTTTTTTTTTTTTACTATTGCTTTTTTTCTATTTGTCACATTGCTATTCTTCTATGATTTAATTTTTCATAATTCTTTATGATTGACTTTTAGCTAATAAATATACCTGTTACACATATTGATTTCGTCAACAGGACATCTTTACAAGCTATTATATATATATATCGATAAACTCAAAAATATTGATATTGATTATTTTCAAAAGATAGAACTTGCGCAGTTTATCCTTTTGTGTTAGCCATGTGACAACTTTCAATACATTATGAGTCATCGTCCTTCATGTTTGTGATATAATCTGTCACGTGAGCAAAAAATAAAAACATTGCGTTATTTAGAATATTAACAGATGTATTCTAGCCATTTCAAAGAAGGCTGTGAAATGTTCTAAAACCGTCTAAACCTTGTTGTTAATGCCGCTCAGTGTCTTTTTCCTTTGCTTACGGATGAATAGAAAACAATTTTTGTATTCGTTGCACTTGGCTACTATGAAAATATACTCAACGACCTTGAACAAGATAGACAAGGTCTAATGGAGAATTACTAAAATTTTTATTTAAACAAACACTCAAAGTTTTTATTTGAAAACTATAATATCAGCTTTACAAAGCAGTCTAATCAATAGTGGAAACTTTGCTATGGATAAAATGAGTTTTATTTTGTTTTCTTTTAGGAAAGTCTGTATTGTTGTTTTTCTGTTTACTCGAAAGTATTTTTGTGTAGTCATGTTTTGAATTCGTTTTTGGCTTTTGATAAACAGAACATATATATATAT